TATATACACTGTATCTCCCATCTCTTATCACAAGAAAAACAAATGTCTCATTAACTTTTCTACAGCGTCTCTGCGTATCTTATGTTGCAAAGACACCGCCTACGGAGCGAGAAAGAGACAGTGCTTCTATTTTTTTTAATCAAATTCACCCAAAACAAGGCAATAAAGCTACTAAGACTCAAGGGTTTACTGGGTGTGGTAAAATTAGAAAACAGAAACATAATTAAAGAGTCATAAAAACAATAAAGGAATCTGTAGATAGTGATTGACACTGCCTTTCTGTTTATTACCGATTGTTCTCTTTCGTCGTGAAAGAGATCGCCGATCTATTCGTTGCACCACGGATGTATTTTTCTTTCTCTAATATGTGCGTTCCGTTCTTTCTTAGAGTCTTTACTCCCGAACGAGAACAAAAGAAGAGTAATCGTGAAGACAGTAGATATTGTTTGACATTGAATTAAAAAAAAAATTATAGATTAAAGATGGCCGGAAAGCATAGACCCGGAAGGGAGTTCCACAAGCGAGAAGTACATCTATCCGACTCAAATCTAAATTGATATGAACTTGTCACCTATCTACTACCGCGCTTAAATTCACAGTTTAGGTGCCATTGCGAAGAGCTCATTCCAAGAATTACCATCTGTCGAAAGATAAGCGACAAGGAAGGAAATTTACGGCGTTGGGAAAGTGATTAAAGCTTAGACACAAGGCCAGGACTAATAATATTGCTGATTCTCCTTTGGATTTTATCAATGATCTCTAAATATACAACAGAAGCACTGGGTCACATGTGACAGCAATATTGTAGGCATGGACAATTGGTAGACGTAGATATTCTGGAGGAAAGAAACTAATAACTCATATTGAATTAACGTTCTTAGCAGCAGACCTAGCGATGGAAGAAAAGGAAATTTGAGAGAGCCATGATGAAAACGTTCTGATGTACCATTTTCCTGTCCTTTGTAATTCTTAGTAAAGCCCACCTTTTCTCCATTACACTCACTTACTACATCTGTTTAGAAATATAATTTTCCCAGACATATAAAGAATGTCCGGCTCGCGGTCGTAAATTTGGTAAAACTCAAAACTTGCTGTTTCCAGTTTGTGGAATATGCCTTCGCCTGGAACATAGATGAATCCGCCTCGTTTGAATCTGTAGTTATAAACATGGCTTCTCCAGACACAGGAATATCTCCCTATATGTAAAACCCTTCCTTTTCGTTTCTCCGTACACTCTGCTTTGCTGTGTAGATATAATAAGTGATATATTATTATCTACGTGGGACATGTGTACACACACACACAAACACACACACGCATATATATACTTTTGTGTATGACTGAGTGATAAAAAAAGTCTCTCTGAGAAAAAAATATGTTTATAGTTCCTTCTCCTTTCAGTTATTCCGTTCAGTCCGTGAACTACTGAGGTCCTGGGTAAGACGTTAAACTACATACACGTCCTGGGTAAGACAATAAACTACATCCAGCAGCAAGGCCTCTGATCAGGAGTTTTTGAGGAGTGTGGAACTACCTCTTAATTGCTGATGTTCCCAGGTCCACCCTGACTCAGTATGGCAGCACCTGCTAGGGTCCCAGCTATGGGCAAACTATTACCAGCAATACTTTTTTGAAAAAAAATATTACCAACAATACAATTTTGAAGGAAAAAAATATTACCAGAAACAGATTTTTGACGAAACAATATTACCAGCAATAAAATATGTTGTCGGCATTAAATAACCCACTGAGGTTGATATGCCGTAAAAGAAACCAAACAAAACCAAACCTTGAACTACGATTTTATTTTATCAAGCATATAACACTGTGAATAATGTGGCTAACGGGGGAAAATACAAAATGGAGAAAGAATATTTCTACCAGAGTTTTCCCTTTTTATAGAACAGATATCGGAACACTTGCAAGTATATGTGTCATCAATGTACGTATTCTCAAGTTATTTAAATCGTGTCGCTGAAGAGAAAAGTACAAAATTCGTATAAGAGTTCATCACTGGTTTAGATAAATTAGTTCCCACTATGTGCCCTACGCCAAAATTCGTTTGATAAACTGAATAACTAGGATGTTTAGTTAGCATAGTTAAATATTGATAGTTGGATCCTCAGTGGGGACTCAAGTCGGGCGTGATCAAGGAAGAAGAAATTTCACTGGTTCTACAAGAGTATTTAACTGTTAGAAGTCCTAACATATTCTATTGAATGATGGGCAATCTCGTCAAAAGTGAAAAAAAATAATTAATGCGACAAATGTGGTTCTACAGAAAGATTGCTTGAATAACTTGTCCTGAACATGTGAGAAACGACGACGTTTTATGCGAAATTAGTCAGTTATGTGCTATGCGGGATACACGCTTAGGTGATCATGTATGTTTCTATGTATGAATAACGAGGCAGATTTTTTTCCCGCAGTAGGTTGACATTTTTTTCTGCGGCCAATTGCCACCAAAAGCTATTTAGCCATAGCTGGGAGAAGAAGAGGATTCGTACCTTTCCCAAGGTTATTAGCAAGTAAGTGAATGTAATGGATTCGATTCCTCAAACCGAGCCACTATCCACTACTCCCTATACATACACACACACACACACACACACACACACACACAAACACATATACATATATATATATACTCTTGAGGATGAAATGGAAGTAATGTTTTTAATTTAATTATACAATTTTATTTGAAGCTTTTAGCTTCTATTTTTGAAACATGGGCGAAAAATATTTTAAATCAGTTAATATATATATATATATATATATATATATATATATATATATATATACTCCAAAGATTTTTAGAGGGAGCATCGATTTAAAATTAATTTCTATAGCAAACAGAGCGGACTCATAAACTCGGCAAATTCCCGATCGAAATTGATTTTTATTGTGCATATTGGATATTATTTTTAATGTCGCAATTTATCATTCAATCAGTCAGTTATATGCCATGATGGTACACGCTTAGGCGATCATGTATCTTTCAGTACATTACTGATGAGGCACATTTTTTTTTCTCGCAGTATGTTGTCATTTCTTTCTGTGGTAGGCCAGTTGCCATCCTTGGTTATAAAACCCGGTCTGTCCTGCTATTTACCCATGGCTGGTGGGGAGGGAAAAGAAGAGGATTCATACCTTTCCCAAGGGTATAACACGTAAGTAAATATAATGGAATTCGAACTCGAAACTTTGATTCCGAACCGCTATCCATTACTCCATCGTACATCCTATTTTATCAAGAATGAAATCAAAAACGGTGTTTTTATTTAGAATTAGAAAAAAAAAACAGTTGAAATTTATAAGAGCATAACAAGAAAAAAGTCTTAAAATATTTTATCATTTCAGGATATATTAAAGGCAAGATGGGCAGGAGAAGGCGGCCATTAGCCTACATAATTAGCTAGAGTAAGCGATTGGTAGAATAGGAATTAGTAGACGTAGCTAAACAACATATTCTTTCTTCTTCATGTGTAGTGTCGTTTCAGGACGTAGGCGATCATAGCTCTCCATAATTTCCTGTTCTTTGTTCCTGTCTTTTTCTCTCTCTGTTATTCTCTAAAACCCTGTCCATCATCCATTTAGCCACGCTAACTAAGTATGTTAGGCGTCATTTTCCTCGTGTCCTCTGTCTTGTTAGTATCAGATTTTCCAAGCATTCCTTCCTCATTATATACCACAGAAACCGCAACTCTCTCTTCTTGATGATAAGTATAAGTTTTCTTTTTGTTACTTTCTTTAAAACGTCCTAGTTACTCTCATATTCGGCCCACAGTATCCACAGCATCCTTCTGTAGAACCACATTGCTCTTCTCTTCTGCATCTTTGAGGAGTTTGGTCAGTACACATTGCCATACAGGTAGGGCAAACATCAGGTAAAAAAATAAAATAAAAATCTACAAAGATGAGAATGATGTGGAGAGCCATTATTGTACACGTTCTGAAGAGACACGGTACATAAGAGAAGGACATGGAATTTTGTAAAGGAAGACACGAAACCAAGTAATTACATGTCGTGAATCACGTCGCCAGTGACTCAACGAATCCACTTTATCTATTCATGCGGACCTGACCAGCGAACGTATATATATAGGGTCACTACTAAGGTTTCCCACGAGCATTCATACGCGGTTATCTTAGGATGGTGGAACGGTGTCAGATATAAAATGCTACTAATATGCAAAGGTTGTCCGAATTCTCTTTTTCTCTTCATTTCGGATTTCTATTCCGGATTACAATATAGAATGCTACAAGCCTTTATTATTATATAAATTTAAATATATGATAAAACATTTTCAGAACAGATCTGTACTTTATTTCTCTACAAGGGCCGTTCTTAGAGGCTAGAATCTCAGATGCTTCTTTTCCTGACACTTTACTTATTATATATACAAGTCTGGTGCAAGATGATCTTACTTCAAATTTATTAAATTGTTTTTTAATTCAGTCTTGAACTGTAATGATTTCATATTATCTCTCTTTTACTCTGATGCCCAATGCCGCTCCATTGTCAATTACCCGAACAGCACGTTCAAGATTACAGAACCTGGTATTTTTAAGTGGCCACTCATTAAGGTACCGACCAAGCTCGACGTTGCTTAACTTCGGTGTTTCAACGTGATGTGGCCGTAAGACCTGCATGATTTGTAACCTCTCCAAAATGATACATGTGTATAGCGCAACCTCTAATATATAATATTTTTGGAAGTGCTATCTGATGATCCGGTGTCCTTTAAAAGGGCTCTGGTGAAATAAATTATTATATAACAACAAAAGGAAAGGAAAGAAGGAAGCTTATAAAGAAAAATTGAAAGCAGAAATATTTATGTTTGAGAGTTGAGAGAGAACGAAGGAAAAAGAAAGACAGAATAAATAAATTAACAAGTAGCTGAACAGAAATCAAGGAAGAAAATGACGAATTAATGAAAATTACAAAAAAAGAAAAAAAAGAAAGACGTTTGAAAGAAGGGAAGGAAAGAGTGAGGGAATTAAACAAAAGGATAAACGAAAAGAATTAAAGGATAAAGAAAGAATGCAAATCTCCAACGAAAAATTAAGGAAGAAAACAATAAAGAAAAATAGAAAAGAAAAAGAGAGACTTTTAAGAGAAAAGAGAAAAGAGAAATAGAGCGAGAGAAGCAGAAGGATAGAAGGAGAGAGAAGGACGATGAAACAAAAAGGAAAAAAAAAGAAAAGAAAAATAAAGTTATAAATAGCCAAAGAAAGGTAAAAAAGAAGATAAGATTAACGCAATAAAGAAAAAACAGAAAAGAAAAAGGGAGACATATAAAAGAGAGAGAGGGATAATGAAACGAAAAGGAAAAATGAAAAAAAGAAGTTATGAATAGCCAAAGAAAGGTAAAAAAAAAGAAGACAATATTAACGAAATAAAGAAAATAGAAAAGAAAAAGAGAGACTGGTAAATGAAGAGAAAGAGAATGAAACGAAAAGCAAAAACGAAAAGAAAAATGTTACAAGCAGACAAAGAGAGGTAAAAAAAAAGAACTAAAATAATATCGGAATAAAGAAAAAAAAGTAAAAAGGAAAATATAAAAAACATAGAAAGAGAGAGAGAGAGCGAATGAATAAAAAGAAAAAAAAACAAAAAGAAAATAAATTTGCATATGACAGAAGAAAATATTATTGAAGAATAGAAAATTAGAAAACAAAAAGAGAGATATTTAAAGCAGAGAGAGGCACAGAAAGAGTGAGTGAGAGAGAGAGAGAGGGGGGAGAGAGAGAGAGAGGGGGGAGAGAGAGAGAGAAGAGAGAGAGAGAATGAAAAAAACAAAGAATAGAAGAACGGCAATAAATAATAAAGCTACAAATGCATGACGAAAATGCAAGGATGAAATATAATAAGAAAATTGAAAGACGTTCAAAAACCGACAGAACAGTTGAGAGATAGATAGAGAGAGAGAGAGAGAGAGAGAGAGAGAGAGAGAGAGAGAAAGAGAGAGAAAGAGAGATAGTGATAGAGGAAGGAACTAAAAAAAAAGAAGAATAGGAAAAAAAATAATAGAATAAGCAAAAGCCAATGTTTATACGCAGATCGATAAAGGAAAAATATAAAAAAAAGGCACAAAGTTTGAATTTACTAAGATGAAAAGAAAAAGACAATGAAAATAGTATCTTATTAAAAAAAAGAATGAAAATTTATAATGTTTAAGCAGTGAGAGAGAGAGGGGGAGGGAAAGACAGAAAGAAAATGAAAAGTCGTAAAGAAAGATTAAAGTAAAAAAGACCAAAAGAAAAGGGGCAAAGAATAAATGTAATAAGTATATATAAAGAAAAAAGAAAATAAAAAGGAATTCTTTTTTAAGAACAGCAAGGAACGAAAAAAGAAAGAAAGAAAGAGAAAGAGAGAGAGAGAGAGAGAAATGACAAAACGAAAAGATGGAGGCAAAGTAAAAATAATGACGAAATAAATGAAACAGAAAGTGAAAGTATTACCATCAAGAGAAAAAGAGATAGAGAAGATAGGGAGAAAGGTCACAAATGCATCTATTTTCATTTTGATAAACAGAAAATGGTGGTCGTTGGGCGAGGGTTTTGTGTAGCTTGAGGGTCAAGGCAAATTGGTGGAAATAATGAAGACAAGCCAAAGCAGTTTCTATGAAATTGTAACAGCCTTGGCGTATCCGACGGTTACAAAATATAAATATTTATTGTCATAATGAGAAAGCGAGTCAGTGCGGCGTTGTGCCGGAATGACAGAGAACATCTTCCATGCAAAAATAAACGCGGTTTAAATAGCTATCGAAAAAGAAATAACAAAATATACACGAATATAAACAGCGAAAAATAGAAAAGAAAACGCACAAAAATCAAACATACCTATTTAAATATTCCCTAAAATTGATTCGGTATACGCATGCGCACACACGCTTGTAAACGGGCAAATTCGAGCACATATATAGAATTGCTAAGTACAAGTTTTTCAGTATAAAATATTAGAATAATAAAAAAAAATGTTATTTAAATATAATTAAAAATAAAAAGCACAGAATACAAAAACGAAAGTGTCATCTCACATGTGTGCGTGGAGAATGTAGGTCTAAAAATTGATATACGTAAAGGGCAATAGATACGATATTATATATGTACATAAAAATGTGACGTATATATATATATATATATATATATATATATATGTTATCATACAACACAGTACAAAAATATCATTTTGAGAGCAAGACGTAAGAGTAACATTAAAAGTATACAAAATACCCATGAACTAACAATTTAGAAACATTTTCGAGCTCCCATCATACAAGGGCGAATCGGATAAAAGACATTTTAGTGAAAAATAGTTTGAGTATTACTAATGGATAAAAGAAAAACGAAATATTTAGTAAGAGTTTTTTTTTTTTTACATATAAAGCTTTTAACAATATACATGGAATCGACTTCATACAAGTAAATAGTCCACCTCCCAAATTTCTTGAAACTGCTTCGATAACATAATTATTTTAGTCTTTGGATTGATTTTAAGTTTTTCGGAATGGAATCTGATATTTTTAGAGGTTGGTTAAATATCAGTTTATATGTATCAAAAATAAATTTGCCAATAGTAAGAGAATATCTGACACCTTTTTTTCGTTGGTGTAAAAACATTGTGTATAATCATTCTTCAGTGAGGTTATCCATAGTTGACATCTATCGCGTTTTTGTATTTGTACTGTTTATAATCATATATTACAACTTCAGTTTGCCGAACTTTTACATTATATACATTATTCAGACAATTGTCCTCATCTTTGTCGCCATATTTATTATTACAACGTTTTGGCCATTGTACGCTCCGGCCTTATTCAGGTGTTTGGAATGTCGAACTGAACCCTTTATTTCGCTCACTGGGGTAGACTGTTCTAGTTCCACGTGCTATGTTTAATGGATGTCAGTTATCTCTTATTAATTCCACTCTCCAAGTTCCCCACTGCCTAAACCGGGTATTGAACTCACACTCTTTAGGTCATGTCACTGCATCTAACTAACGTCTTTATCCACTGTGCCATGTGTCCTCAAAGATACATGGCACAGTGGCCGAAACGTTGTAATAATAAATATGGCGACAAAGATGAGGACAATAGTACGAATAATGTAAATAGCATACATAATAACTCATCTCAGAAATATAGACAGATGCCGAATGTTTAATTGAAATTTATCCTTTTTTTTCTATATTGATTGCAAACCGTGGCTAGATAGATAGATCTGACTTGATATTTAACCTATTGGTGGTGGACAGAAGGTATTTGTGTATAAGTGGAACAAACCGGAATTGGCCTATTTCTACTTCCGGTTTACTAACGATTACACTCCCTATAAATTGCAAGTGTTTGTTTTTTTTAACAAAGTTAAGAAAAGAAACAAGAAGAATTTGGGTTGAAATAATACCGATATCGTTCAATTGTCACATTCGTTACTTTTAAAGTTGTCATAAAGAAAATGTGATCCGACCAATTTATGTTTAAATCATTTCACTCCAAACAAGATGATCAGTCAGTTATGTGCCAAGCGTGATACACGCTTAGGCGATGATCATGAATCTTTCGATACACGATATTTTTTTTTTCCCGGAGTGTGTTGCGATTTCTTTCCAGGTGCCATCCAAGGCTATAGAACCCGGTCTGTTCTGCTATTTACCCATAGCTAGTAGGGGGAGAAGAAGAGGATTCAGATATTTCCCAAGGGTATTAGCACGTAAGTGAATGTAATAGATTCGACTAGAAAGTCAGTCAGTCAGCTATGTATACACGCTAAGGCGCCATCTATCTTTCAATACATAACTGACGAGGCAGATTTTTTTCCCCGCAGTAGGTTGCCATTTCTTTTTGCAGTAGTTCATTTGCCAACCAACTCTATAGAACTCGGTCTGGGTCAGCTATAGATGGGGGGAGAAGAAGAGTATCCATACCTTTCCCAAGGATATTAGTGAAGGTAATGGATTCCTTAACCTATTCACTATCTATTTCTCCACCGTACCTCGTCCAAACAAGATGATAGGGTCACTATAATAAAATAAAATAAAAACCATGACAAAGCTAATATCTTCTCTCTCACAAATTGCGTTTTAGTGAAACAAGATGATAGAATCACTAAAACGTAAGGTGTGAGAGAGAAGACATTAGTTTAGTCATGGATAACATTTTCGAGCAGTGTGCCGTATAGCTCATCACATATCAGGCCCTACTACTATAAATATTCAATGTAATATTTCAGGTAGGTATTTTCACTTCAGAAGATCATATGCATAAGCATATATATATTAGAAATGGTAGAAAGATTTGTTTTGTAGAAAATATATTTATAATTAAAACATTGAAGTTTTGTATAATATTATAACATATGAGACTGTTATTAAATACATGTCGCTGCGTGAGATTTATTTCTAATTTATTAATTTGGAAATGAAACATTTCTTTTTTAGAGATAACATTCTTATGAACATTTCCTGTTTCAAAAGCAAAAGTTTTTTTTACACGTTTGCTCTTCCTTAGTGAAAATCCCAAATGATTTAAAATGCTGATAAATAAAATAGTATAAAAGTGTAAAAACTTAGATGGAGATATATTAATGTAATAAACAGATAAAATGATTCGCTAACCTCGTTATTTGATCTTATTTGATTTAAATTGTTGTGATTTTGCACCGTTAAACTAAGCATAATTCCTCATGAACAACTCAGGACAATTTTCACGTGCTTTTCTCAAATGATATTTGCACTGATTAAATGGTACCTTTTTTTAATCGGTACAGTCTTACGAGCAAACACTTGAATTTTCCTGCAAATTCTTAACTACTCCAGGGGATGGGCAGGTATAATATTCATTTTTAATATTCGATCCATGTTCAAATTTCACGTGGGTCCTTTTGTCAGAAGAGAGATATTTGGTTTCATCGGATTAGGGAGATGCTGCTAGCGTTTTCCAACATTGGTAAGTGTCTGAAATCTATATCTCCTTTAAATCCAAACATAGTCTCTGATATTTTGTAGACGAAAATGTTCGGATGCTGTCGATGGTTGTATATGCAGAAGGTTTGAGCCTTCTTAATATATATATATATATATATATATATATATATATATAGGTCTAACACCACATACTGAATCAATGTTCTTAGAAGCAGACCTAGGAATGGAAGGAAAGGAAAATTTGGGAGAACCATGATGAAAACGTTCTGATGGGCCATTTTCCTGTCCTTTGTAATTCTTAGTAAAGCCAAACTTTTTTTCATTACTCTCACTTACCACATCTGTTTGGAAATATAACTTTCTCACACATAGAAAGAAATTCCGGCTCGCGGTCCTCAATTTGGGAAAACTCAAAACTCGCTGTTTCCAGTTCGTGGAATATGCCTTCGCCTGGAACACAGATGAATCCGCCCTGTTTGAATGTGTCGTCCTAAACATTGCTTCTCCAGATACAGGAGTATCACCATATTATATGTAAAACACTTCCTTTTTTGTTTCTCCGTACACTCTGCTTTGCTGTGTAGATATAAATGATATATTATTCTCTACGTAAAGACACACACACACACACATACATACATATATATATATATATATATATATATATATATATATATATATATATATATATATATCAGCAAAATTGTCCTAATAATGTAACAGCAAAATTGTCATTTGTTAAATTAAGTTTTGACTCGTTGTATCTTAAAAATGATTAAATATATATTACTGTAATTCTCTGCGGTGTTTATAATACTATTAGTCTCTACTTTGAAAAATAAGAATGTATTTAGCTCTAAGTTAAAATGATGATCCCTCTTCCTATTGTGACCACCTGATCAATTTCCCTCTCTATTGTTCCGTCTCTTTTGAACTTATTCACCATTCTATTGATGGTTCTGGAATGGACTTTGAAGATGGAAGTCAGAATATGAATGTTGTTAACATTACTGAAGACTTGTATGATCTTTTTCCTCTCAGAATTGCTCATTTGTGAAGATATAGTGGGGCTGACGCAAAGCGATTTCGTTCTCTTTCTAGCTGAATAACTCAAAACATTTTTCAGTGATTCTTACGACAAATTGTGTCAAGGTGGCTAAACGTCTAATCTGAAAACGTGGAATAAATAAACTCGATTAGTTTGGTGGCTTTTTAGATATTAAACATTATGTGGGATGGACATTCTTACACGATTTGGACAATTGTGCAGTTATACCCAGTATAGAAAGACTAGAATTAAAAATTGAAAAATAATAACATGTCTAGAGAAAAACCGGAAATACATAGCTAAAAATGGCTACAATTAAAAGAAAAGAGGAAAAGGAGAAAAAAGAGAGAGAACAAGTTAAGGAATGTGTATAAAGTTTTAAAAAAAGAAAAAATTGAAAAATGTTCACATACGCGTAGACGAGCGCATGCGCACGAACACATATATATATATATATATATATATATATATATATATATATATATATATATATATATATATATGAATATATCGGATTATATATATATATATATATATATATATATAT